ATGTCGGGAACAGTTTTTGGTGACGAAGAATAGTGGCCACGTGATCATACTTCGAGGATAGCCCATTTATTGCATAGATCACCAAATTTATCTCGGGTACTGGGGCTTCCATGTTTTTGAGGAGAGCCGAGAGACATTTAATATGGGTGAGATATTTAGTGACACCTTCATCCCCGATTGTAATATTTCGCAATTCATTATCGATCTCAATGGCCCGAGTTTCCTTGCTGTCCCTGAAAAGTTGTATGAGACTATCCCACACATGATAAGTTGTGGAACTTTTCTTGATGATCGTTTGGAGGAGAGATTGCGAGATAGTTCCGTAAAGCCATGTTTTCACGATGTGATCAATTTCATCCCATTCGTATTTGTCACTGCGAGATGTAATAGAAGGCGATGGTTGGAGATGTTTGCTAACACCGAAACCTTTGCAGTGAGTCTCAAAGAGCTCACTCCATGCATCATAATTCACGCATTCCATATCTAAGATTAGGGGAACGAATGATTTGATGTTAGTAATTCCGTAAGGTTTATCGGAATTTTTTTATCTTTTCTGATGAAGGCATCTTGAAAGAATTGAGAAGAAGGGTAGGGAGGGATTAAGAAAACAGAGAGAAAGATGTGAGATGGCTTAAACACAGAGATCGATGGCAATAAGGATGAATTGACGGAGAAGAAAGGGTAACGAGAAAAGGCAAAAAAAGAAAAAAATAGGGTTTTATTCGCTCTCTGATACCATGCTATAACAACGATTTTCCCCCCGTGCCTCTTCTCATTACGTAAACATGTATACTCAATATAGAAGATGGGTTACACATAAAATAAAGGGTCGAACAATACAAAGGGCCCAAAAGACAAATACAAACACTAATAATAATAATAATATTGCTAACATTTTCAACCTGCCTCTTGGGAGGCACCCTGGGTAACTCCTTCGGAACACATTAGTAAACTCCCTACCAACTGGCACATATGAAACTGATGACTTCTCCCTAACCCATGTATCAACCACGTAGGCAAGATAACCCATACAACCATGTTGAATATATTGTCGAGCCTTGGCATCCGAGAAAAACCTTGACCCAATCCTGGTTCCCTTTCCATAGATGACCAGTTCTCCCCCACTTGGGGTTCAAACTACCACTCACTGACCCTCGTAGTCAATCATAGCACCAAACCTGCTCAGCCAGTCCATCTGTAGTATCATGCATACATCCCCCATGGGGATAGGAATCAAATCAATCGGATAAGGCACCCTGAAAGATCTCCAAGACACAACACTAATACACTCTAGATGCAGAAATCTCATGTTCGTTGGCGATAGAAACCCACAACATACACTTCAGCTCGTCAAGGGTCATATCAAAATCCATAGTAAAAGACTAAGCTACTAAAGGACCGAATCACGCCCGATTCGAATAACACAAGAGCATACAAAGATATCACTAAGAATGTACCTATCAGGAACATAAACATAAGCATACCATAAAATAATTGAAAAAATGGCAAAAGGAAACATACTAGTAATGACGTCCGACGCCACCCTGGTGTCCTTTGTTGTGAGATAAAAAGTGTGACCTCGAGCCCTCGGGGTCTCCACCCTGCCCTGGCGCCTATCGGTGATCCTCAAAGTAGTTGGCACTAGAGCATGCACTGGTCCCCCAGTGAGCAAAGGACAATTTGAATTAATATGGCCAACCTGATCACAGTGATAACAGATCCTAGTGGTCGATGTGGGAACCTGCTGGAAACAGTCCTTGGCGTAATGCCCTTCCTTGCAACATTTGTGGCACCCAAAAGTATATCAACAAGGACCCTCATGAACCTTGTCGCACTTGCTATAAGTACGACCCCTCTGATTCCCAAATCTCACATCAGCGGCCTTGAACTGCTTTAGCGCAGGCTACGACTGCACCGGAGTCTGCCTTTGCTCCCTCATCTAGAGCTCCAACTCAATCTCCCACCACCTAGTGGCCTCCTATAGCTCTACAAGTGTACCACAACACTAAGTAATCACAAACTGGCGGATGTCCGTCTTGAGCATGCTCAAGTACTAGGTCATCTAAGCCCGCTCAGAAGCACCAACTAAGGAAAAAACAGTGCTCTCTCAGTAAACATCTTGGTGATCTCTATCACTGACTCAATTCCCTACCTCAGGTCCAAATACTCAAGGGATAATTTCTACCTTTCAACCAATGGAACATACCTCGTGCGAAATATCTCAAAGAAATGCTCGCATGTAATAGCAGCCCTCTGCTATGAAGTATAAGAGCTAGTAACCAACCTCCACCACTCATTCGCCACAACCTGAGACGGTTCAGGGCGCACTTGAACTTTTAGTCAATTGGGTAGGAGAAATTAAAGAAACATCCCTCAACATCGGACAACCACCTCATAACAATGATCAGATCCTAAACCCCAACAAAAACTGGGGGTTTCGTATTATCGAAGTTGCGGTACTAGAAAGCTCTCTCTCCACGAACCTCAGCGGCCGCCACAGTCATGGTAGTTGCAGCAATATCAACCTCAGAAAGTGCATCGTAACGGTCTTTAAATTACTTAATTATGTAAGTCTTGTTAGACCTGAACAACTCCAATATCTGACCTTGGATAGCAGTCACAACCTCAAAAGAATCAACGCCTTAATATCATCCTTAGTCAACCATGGCCTATCCTGACCAATCGCTTCATCTCCTATATCAGATGTTCTCATGACCACCATACTGAAAATAAACCAGAAAATATCAGATGAGGCACATTTCATACCATATG